GCGCCAAGGATAGGACCCAGAAGAGCAAAGACAATGATACCTTGTTACCTGTACGTAGTACACTGTTCAGCTATCACTAAACAGAAGAGTTGATTTTTATCAGCTTTTTATTTTGATATTTTTGAACCTATAGAAAATTGAAAGAATAGTATAGCAAGCACCCGTACAGCCTTCATGGAGATCCATGCAACAGTTAACATTTCACAAACTTGGCTTTTTTTCTTTCTACATCTATCTGTATATATGTTGTGTTATATATTTACTCACTTTTTTTAGTTTAATAAGGGCATATAAAATAAAATACAGTTATAATACTTAAGACATTGAACTCTGAAACAAAATTATATTTAATATATGGTCATATTGAACATTTCCCAGTTGTCACAAAGTTTGTTATCCTTTATAGCTTCGTCCTTCTCCATTCTTCATCTGGGATTCAAGCAAAGGTTATATGTTGCATTTGATGTCATATTTTTGGTTTACTTGAATCTAGATCAGGTCCTCTGCTTTTTATGTAATATTTTTGAAGAGTCCAAATCAGATTTCTGATTTTGTCTGTTTCTTCATGACGAGATTCAAGTTAACCATTTTTGGCCAAACTACCGCATAGATTATATTTATGCTTTCTATTGCATCACCAGAAGAGGGGCGTGATGTCACATGTTTCCTTTATTGGTAATGGAAGTTTGACCACTTAGTTAAGATGTTCACCATATCTGCCCATTGTAAATGATACCTTTTCTTATTTGCAATTAATTCTAATTTTTGATTCTTGAGACTGGTGAAGAGCCTATCTGTCAGTAATAACCTATCACCCAGAGGTTTCATTATGCATTTTTAATCTTTTCCTGAAACAATAATTAAACTGGTATTTGAGAAATAGTGATTTTCTAATTCTATCATTTCTTCTACATTGATTGGCTGGCAGTCTTCCATAATAATTGCTTTTTCTCCCTTTTCTCTTTTTTGTTATTGAATATCACTATGGACTGATGGCTTCTTTTTTTCATTTAGTGCTTTATATATCATTGTAATTTTTCTGTGATGTGCAAAGTTACCCAAATTTGACCAATAGGAGCCCTTCAAGCTGGTTCCTATGTCATGTTAACACGCCCTCATTTTTTTACTTATTTGCTTTCTAGTGCAAGCTGCTCCAGGCTCACCTTGTGCTTTTCTCCCCTCAGACTTGAAAGAATCCATTTCTTCAAGGAGCCCGAGTTCCTTTTAGTAATAGATTGCATTTAAAAACCA